CCCAAAGCCAGAAAAAATCATTTCCACTGGGAAGAACTGGGTCCTAATTAAGGAAGTGGCCACATTCACCTGGCTGCTTTTCAGAATTGCTGCAAGGTAGGTACCCTTTTCCCTCTTTTTGATCAGGAGTATACTGTCATTATTCTAGCTCTGGTTTCACCATTGTATGCAGTGTCTCTTTGGTTCATAGGCCTTCAGATTCCTTGTGAAATTATCTTTAAGGCAGATCACCCATACCTGGACTTGATACAGAAAACCTGACCTTGCAGTTGAATCTGATGTCACATGGAAAGTCTTTTAGGGTGACTATATTTTGAGTGTGGGAGAAATGTAAGTAATCTGTGACCATAAGGCAAAATTAAAAAATGACTTCGAATTATTCAATAGCTCTTCCATTTAGAGGTGAGGGTCTACTTTCCCTTCCTTTTAATCTGGGCCCTAATGACTTTGTAGTAACCAGTAGCATGCAGTAGAAGTGACACTGTATACCTCTGGGGTTAGAAGATTTCTGGAGTTTTCTACCTTGACTCTTGAAATGCTCACTTTCCCAGACACTCCCTCCAAAACCGAGTTTCCATGCCAGGCGAGGCACAAGCCACATGGAAAGGTCCTATGTGGTTGCTCCGGTTGAAAACTGTCGCTGGGAGTCAATACTCAACTGTCAGCCATGGATGGGAGTGAGCCACCCAGGCAAGCCATTGTATGACTATAGCCCCAGCCAACATCTGATTACTACTGCATGAGATCCTAACAGAGAAACACTTAGCTGAACTCTTGAGGAATTCCCAATTTACAAAAATATGAGCAAAACAAAATGGCCTTTGCCACTAAGTTTTGAAGTAAAACTTCGTTATGTAGCAATATGTACTAAGAAGAATTAGAATTGGAATGATCAGCATAGGCTCATAGCCTTCAATAATTTACAAATAAACCTGGAAAAATAAACAGACATATGGGGGCTCTGTCTGTCTAGAGAACCTAAAAGCAGTGATAGCTTTCTGGCAATGGACATAGCTAGCACCTACAATTTGATTTCTAAATACCATTCTTCACTAAAAGAAATGATGGGTCTTTGGAAAATGGCTGATTCTGTGGCTAAGGGAAGGAAACAAGCTGATGGGCCCCTTTTGTTATGCTAGCATGCTAGTTACTAACCTTATTGCTTCTCAGCTCCAAATCCATCATTCCCTATCCTGCTGGAGATAGTAGAGCTATATCTTCTAACCATTTTCTCCTTTGCCAAGGATATAATACTAAGCTCTGTCAAAAAAGAACTCAGGAGGGTCTTGAGGAGGAAGGGTTTTCTCTACCTGGTTTTGGTGTGTGTCTTTTTCTTATTGTTCCTACAGTGCTTGGTTGCAATGATGGACGGAGAGTGGCATTCATTCCAGTGAGTTTCAACAGGACCCCTGGGGACAGTTTCCTAGGGAGTTCCATGGGCATTTGAGAGGGCTTCCAAGCAAGTGCAACAGTACACTCCAGGCAGCTTCCTTGCAGCTTGGTCAGCACCTCAGGGGGATTTCCACTTGCCAGCTTTGGCATCCAGTGGGCCACAGCCACACCTGCTCCAATAAGTGTGAATACCATGGATTAGGTATGCTGTGTGGTGAGGGCAGACTCCTACATGGATTCCTTCTCATTTTCTTTAGAGTTCTGTTGACCCCTTAGAGGCCAACCCATGTTACCAGTTACTAATTCTTTCTTTTTTTTCCCCCAAGATTTATATATTTATTTATTTGAAAGGCAGAGTTAGAGAGAGAAAAGGAGAGTCAGAGAGAGATCTTCCACCTGCTGGTTCACTCCCCCAATGGCTGCAATGGCCAGAGCTGGGCCAATCTGAAGCCAGGAGCCAGGAGCTTCTTTTGGGTCTCCCACATGAGTGCAGGGGTCCAAGTACTTGGGCCATCTTCTGCTGCTTTCCCAGGTGCATTAGCAGGGAGTTGGATCAGAAATGGAGCAGCTGGCACTTGAACTGGCACCCATGTACCATGCTGGCACTGCATGCGGCAGTTTAACCTGCTATCCCACAGAGCCAACCCCCATACTAATTCTATTAAACTTTCCTATTCAAGTTAATGCATGGCTTCTGACTTCTAATGACTGGACTTTGACAAATATAGCCACAAAATAAGAGAAGTTCAGCCAAGAATGATAAAAAAACGAGTCAAAAAAGACATGGGATACATCTTGCAGCAGCTCTCAGTAGCTAAATCTGAGGCCATTTAAGCACCAAAATAAGTAATGACAATAATGGATTATAAATCGTAAGTATGACCTCATAAGTCTGTCTATATATATAATTGAACAAATAATAAATGAGAGACAAGCTCTTCCTCATAAGAAAATGTCAACAAGTAAATGAAGAAGGAATAATGAGGCTAGAAAATCACCACTTCACAAACATCATGGAAATAATTGAGATAGGGGCTGGGTTTGTGGTGTAGCAGGTAAAGCTACAGCCTGCAACACTGGCATCTCATATGGCCACTGGCTTCCCAGTTGCTCCACTTCCTATCCAGCTCCCTGCTAATGGCCTGGGAAAAGCAGCAGAAGATGACCCAAGTCCTTGGGCCCCTGCCACCCACACAGTAGAACTGGAAGAAGTTCGTGGCTCTGGGCTTTGGCCTGGCCCAGCACTGGCTGTTGCTGTCAACTGGAGAGTGCACCAGCAGATAGAAGATGTCTGTGGTGTCTCTCCCTCTCTGTAACTCTGACTTTCAAAATAAATAAACCCTTAAAAAAAGAAAGAAAGAATTGTTAGGCAAAAGTCACTGGTAAATAAAAAAATGTATATGGAAGTGTAATAAAGAACAGGATATGTGTGATAGTTTCAAGTATTCATTACTTACAGAGGGAAAAATAATAACTTCACAGTAAAGCAACTTGACAACACTTCCTTAACTAAATGATCAAAGTCATTATTAATGAGACAAAATGCCATCTTGTGCCTCTGGACATGATATACTAAGGACACATGTAATTTTTATGGCATTCCTGCCAAAAATTGCATAACTTCAATAAAATCCCAATGGGTTTCTTTATCTCCATTCTTGCTGTCTTATTTGTAATCTTTAGCCCATTGCTCTGCTCAAAATCTATTTTACTCTTTTAAGTTGGCTGGATAATGAATGAGATAGCAAGAGATGGAGCAGGTAACTTGGTCCGTAACACAACCGCCCTGTACTGAGAAGGCTGGACAATAAGACAGAAGTGGGCTCCCTGGATATACCACTTATTCCCCACATCAACCAGAAACTGCTTAAGCTTGGGCTTATCTAATATTTGAAACCACTTATTTGACTATGGTTATTATAGCTCTGTTTGTGACCTTAACAGTATAGGCTAACTCTATTGTCCTGGTTTCACCATGTACTGTTTCCTTAGGTAAGTTACTTAATTACTTTAAGTCTTACTTATGTATTTATTCAAGTATTTATTAAACACTTACTATAGGCTGAGTGCTAAGCTAGGTGCTCTACAAAAGTAATAACTATAACTTCATCCCTACAAACTCCAAGAGCTCTTAATCTAAAGGGGCAGGTTCAGATTCGGTGGTTTCATCTGTAAACTGGGGATAACCCAAACACTGCCCACCTCATAGGGCTGTTGTAAAGATCAACTAAAGCAACGTGAGCACCATTCAAAAACGTAAGGTGGAAATTTATTTTTAAGCTATGTCTGTTCTACATATGACCAAAATGTAACAAGGAAGTTTAAAAGAAGCCAGGTATTTCAGATTTGGAACTGCAGATGAGATCAAGGAGGAAATAATCCCAAATTGCCATGTAAAGGCTTCCCCTACATGGAGCAAAAGGTCAGTGATAACTTGGATTGCACCCAGCAAAGGGTTACTACAACAGTGAGTGGCCGACAGCCTCACTTTTTAACACACTGTGAAAGAAACAAAAGAAAAACCCTTGGAATGAGAGCCATTTGCAGAAACAGGCTTCCCCAGTATCCACAGGGCACTGGGGCAGGACCCTCAAGGAGACCAAAACCCTCCATGCTCAAGTCTCTTATTTAAAATGGCACTGTATTTATTTATGACCTACACACATCCTTCCATATACTTTATATTTTATTTCTTTGAAAGGCAGAGGGAGGAAGGGAGAGAGGGAGCAAGGAAGGCAGGAAAAGAAATAAAGGCAACCACAGAAAGTGAACTCCTGCCCACTGGTTCACAGTACAGATGCCCATAACAGCCAAAAATGGGCTGCACAGGGCTAGGCTGGAGTTGGGAACTCAATTTAGAACTCCCCAGAGAGGGGCAGGAACCCGACGCCTTGGGCCATCACTGCTGCCTCCCAGGGTCTGCATGAGTGGGAAGCTGGAGACAGGTATGGAACCTAGGGACTCCAATATGAGATGCAGGTATCTTAACCACCAGACTAAATGCCCATCCCATTCTCCTGATTATTTGTGATCCACAGTTGGTTGAATGCACAAATGTGGAGCCCGTGGATATGGAGTACTGACCGTAGGTGAAAAACTCCCATGTGGATGAAAGGGTACACTAGTTCTGATTCAATGGCAGACATTGTTAAGAGGGCGAAATTTAGCCTCATTATGTTAGGATGATTTTTGTAGCACCAAGAGCATCCAAACATAGAACGCCATTAATTTTTGAGTTTGTAAGTTCCTTGCTGCTGAAGGTGTTCTGAAGCTGGAACAAGGGCGCTGAGGGGAAGAACTGCTGAGAAGGGGCTGTGGGGAGGCAGACAAAGCAGTGGCTTCCAGGGTTCTCTGTAGGTCAACAAACCCTCGTGGGTGTCTTTATTTTTTTAGGAGCCCTTGTTCTTCTTTTTAGGGAAAAAAAAAAAAAAAAAGAAAAGAAAAGAAACAGACATGCTCTTTTTAACCATAAATTCTGAGTATATACTTTGTCCATGAGAACAAATCTTCATGCAGTATTAAGTCTTTTTGTTCTGATATCTAGAGGCTAACAAGAGAATGCTACAAAACATTACAAGGGTTACAAAGTGATTTGCTCAGCTCCTTACCTTTGCTGAGGAAACAATCTGCTTGGCCTGGCGTCTTGATAAATGGTCAATTGTCCTTATTAGCACTTCCGGATCTGCATTAGCTAAGTGCGTTAGGCTTTTGTAACCTGCATTGTACAATTGTTTTGCTCGACCCTGGAAAGTATTAGAAAGAATTTATAATTAGGAAAACAAAATTAAGTGTCTTCCTGAAGTGAAAAAATTTTGTGTGCAAAAAGACAGGAATAAAATAAGATAATAAAGTAAGAAGAGGTAACATATCAGAATCCTGTGGAATTTTAAAAGACGCATTTGGGTGTTTCAATCTGGCTGCATGCAAAAGCACAGTTGCAGGCAGAGAGAGGGATAAACAGAGTCAGAGGTCTTCTATCTGCTGGTTCACTCCCCAAATGGCTGCAATGGCTGGAGCTGGGCTAATCCAAAGCCAGGAGCCAGGAGCTTCATCTTGGTCTCCCACATGGGTTCAGGAGCCCAAGTACTTGGACTATCTTCCACTGCTATCCCAGGCCATAAGCAGGGAGCTGGATCAAAGATGAGCAGCAGGGAGATGAACTGGCACTCATGTGGGATGCTGGCACCGCAGGTAGAGGCTTAGCCTGCTATGCCACAGTGCTGGCCCCAATGGTTACTATTTTTTTTTTTTCTTTCATAACTAAGATTCTTCATTGAGTCTGTTTGCCAGTTTTCACAGTGGATTTTTGGGGAGGCCATGGCAGAAACTTATTTACAAAAAAAAAAAAAAAAAAAAAAAAAAGACTCCATGACAATTGACACTAAAACTCTTGCTATCACTTGCCCTGCAATGAGACTTCACAAGAGTCACCTTGACTCTTCTGTGAGGTGAAAGAACCTAGAGTGGGACATGGGAAGACACTGACCTCCTGAACTCCGGTCACTTCCATGAGAGGAATCAGCTCTGCCTTTACACAGTACGTTAGCTTCTTGATAAGTTCCACCAACAGGGCTCGGTAAACCCAAAACTCCTCAAGTTCCTGCAGAATACAAGGAATATATACAATTTAAATTTTATAAGTTATTCCACAGTTGCAATTGTGTGGTAAGGGGCTCAGAGGAAAATTCCCTTATGTAAGTTCTGGAACATGGGTTAATTCAGAGATGAAGGAAGATGATTTCAAGCAAAATTGTTATGAGGAAACATTGTAGAGACCCTCAGGAATTTGATGAACTAGTTTTTAGGTGAGGAAAAGACTGAAAAATGAAAAATAAGTCAGCAAGAAGAGCTATAATCATTTAAGTCAAAGCAGAATGCATAATTTTTCTTTCTCAAGTGACTAAAAATAATTCCTATCTCTGGAATTTGTCCCAAAGATAAAATACTAAATATGGAAAGATTCAAAGGCAACATAATGTTCAATACAACATTATTTAAACCAATAAAAATGCCAGAAGCCATGAACTAATAACTTTCTTTTAAAAGATTTGTTTCTTTATTTGACACGGAGAGTGACTGGGCTAGGGGAGAATATGAATGATATTTCCCATCCTCTGGTCCATTCCCCAAATGGCCACAATGACCAAGGCTGGTTCAGGCCACAGCCAGAAGTCCAAAACTCCATCCAGGACTCCCACATGGGTGGCAGAGGCCCATCTACTTGGGCCGTCACCTGCTGCTTTCCCAGGCACGTTATAGGGAGCTCGATTGGAAGCAGAGCAGCTGCAACTCACACTGGTGCTCTGATACAGGATGCTGGAGTCACAGTGGGGATTTAACCTGCTGCCCCACAATGCTGGCCACTGTGAGCCAAGAACTGTTAAAAACTGGATGGGTAGGCCAGCGCCACGGCTCACTAGGCTAATCCTCCGCCTGCGGCACCGGTACTCCGGGTTCTAGTCCCAATGGGGCACCGGTTCTGTCCTGGTTGCTCCTCTTCCCGGCAGCTCTCTGCTGTGGCCCGGGAAGGGCCTTGTGCAGTCCTTGGGCCCTACACCTGCATGGGAGACCAGGAAGAAGCACCTGGCTCCTGGCTTCAGATCGGCGCAGCACACTGGCTGTAGCGGCCATTTGAGGGGGTGAACCAACGCTAGGAAGACCTTTCTCTCTGTCTCTGTCTCACTGTCTAACTCTGCCTGTCAAAAAACAAACAAACAAACAAAACAAAAACAACAACAAAAAAACTGGGGGGTAAAAGGGAGTTCACTATATTATTTGGTCTTTATATAAGATTGGGAATTTCTTTTATATTAGTTTCTCTTTTTAACGTCCTATTCTAGCCTTTGAGTATTATTGTGAGAGTATGTGATCATGAATAGCATTAACTGGCCATTTTGTCACCACTAAGAAATTAGAGAGGGTTAGGATGGCATCCCACACTGGAGTGTCTGGGTTTAGATCCCATGTCCTGCTCTCGTTGCCAGCTTCCTGCTAAAGCAGATCCTGCAGCAGCAGACTACTCAAACTGTTGGCTCCCTACTACCCACACTGGAGGCCTGGATTGATTTCGTGGCTCTCTGCTTTGTCCTAGCCCAGCCCTGGCTGCTGGGGGCATTTTGAGAATGAACCAGTGAATGGGAGTGTGCTCCTCCCCTCCCCTATCTCTCAAATCCATCCATCCATGCACACTTAAGACAGAAGAAAGAGGTCTGTAATAAAGATGACAGAGTAAAAGGAAGAAAGAAGACTTGGAGCAGAACTACTGAATTAACGAGCCTTGGAGCTGCCTTACTTCTAGCCTTCCTGTTACATAAGAGAACATTTTCCCTTATTACTTAAATTTTTTTTTTTAAAAATAGGTTGTGAAGTTCTTCCTCATGTTTTCTGGAAGAGATTGTGTTTATTTTTTTCTTTTCTTTTCTTTTTAAGATTTATTTATTTATTTGAAAGGCAGAGCTTACAGAGAAGCAGGGGGAGGGGGGGAGAGAGGGAGATAGAGGGAGAGAGAGATAGAGAGAGAGAAAGAGATCTTCCATCCACTGGATCACTCCCCAAATGGCCACAACAACTGGAGCTGTGCCGATCCAAACTCAGGAGCCAGATGCTTCTTCTGGGTCTCCCACGCAGGTGCGAGTGCCCAAGCACTTAGGCCATCTTCTACTGCTTTCCCAGGCCATAGCAGAGAGCTTGGATTGGAAGTGGAGCAGCCAGGTCTCAAACTGGCACCCATATGAGATGCTGGTACTGCAGGCAGCAGATTTACCCGCTACAGCACAGTGCCAGCCACTTATTATTTAAACTTATATGGAGTTTTCTTTCACTTGTAGTTCAAAGCATTTAATCAATACAAATGGCATTCTATTTTATACCATTTATGTAACCTTTTAAAAAGAAAAGAAAAACCACTTGTAAACATTAAAAGACATTAATGACAGCATAAGTTGATTAGATTTTTCTGAGGACCAGTCACTAAATTATGGTTTGTTTGAGATCCTACATATAGATTCTTTTACTTGAACAATTCCATTAGGCTCAAGTTCTCATAATCTTAAGTAAAACAAAAAGAAAGAATATCAAACAAAGTGTCTTTAAAGTATAAAGGACAGGAAACATAAAAAAATTAAGAAACTATATTTGAAAGGTTTTAGCATCTCCTTGTAACCCATAACTTTGGCTTATTGCTTAGCTAACATATACTTAAATTATAAGCTAACGATTATTTATCTCTCTTCCTCCTTCCCTCCCTCCTTCTCTCTCTGTATTTCTGCTTTTCAAATAAATAAATATTGAAAAAAATCCAAAGTCAACTATTTTTGGACTACTTTTGGATTATTTACTCCCTTAATTAAGGCTTAAGATATGGGGCCAGCATTGTGGTACAGCGGGTAAAGCCACCACCTGCAGTGCTAGCATACCTATGGGTGCTGGTTCGAGACACGACTGCTTCACTTCCAATCCACTCTCTGCTATGGCTATAAATATATCTGTATGTATGTATGTATATATATATATACATACAGACTACGGAGGTTCAGACATGAAAAGTTAAGTTCAGAAAACAGAATTCAGGTCTGCCGTTGTAAACTGGCAGATAAAACTGCTTCTTGTAATGCCCACATCCAATAGGGGCTCTGGTTCTTATCCTGGCTGCTCCAGTTCCAATGATCTCCCTTAATGGCCTGGGAAAAGCAGAAGATGATGCCCCAAGTCTTTGGGCTCATGCCACCCACATGGGAGACTTAAGATGAAGCTCAAAGCTCCTGGCTTTGGCCTGGCCCAGCACTGGCTGCAGTGGTTACCTGGAGAGTGAAACAGTGGATGGAAGATATCTCTGTTTCTCCCTTTCTTTCTGTAACTCTTAAAAAAAAAAAAAAGGGCCGGCGCCGCGGCTCACTAGGCTAATCCTCCGTCTAGCGGCGCCGGCACACCGGGTTCTAGTCCCGGTCGGGGCGCCGGATTCTGTCCCGGTTGCCCCTCTTCCAGGCCAGCTCTCTGCTGTGGCCAGGGAGTGCAGTGGAGGATGGCCCAGGTGCTTGGGCCCTGCACCCCATGGGAGACCAGGAAAAGCACCTGGCTCCTGGCTCCTGCCATCGGATCAGCGCGGTGCACTGGCCGCAGCGCGCCGGCCGCGGCGGCCATTGGAGGGTGAACCAACGGCAAAAGGAAGACCTTTCTCTCTGTCTCTCTCTCTCACTGTCCACTCTGCCTGTTAAAAAAAAAAAAAAAAAAAAAAAAAAAAAGGTTTATTTATTTATTTGAAGTCAGAGTTACACAGAGAGAGAAGGAGAGGCAATTGGACGCAACAGCCGGAGTTATGCTGATCTGGAGCCAGGAGCTTCCTCCAGGTCTTCCCATGTGGGTATAGGGGCCCAAGGACTTTGGGCCATTTTCTACTGCTTTCCCAGGCCATGGCAGAAAGCTGGATCGTAAGTGGAGAAGCCAGGACTCGAACCAGCGCCCATATGGGATGCTGGCACTGCAGGCAGCAGCTTTACACACTACCCCACAGTGCTGGCCCTCTGTAACTCTTTCAAAACAAATCTTTAAAATAAACAAAAAAAAGAAAATAGAATTCATGGAAAAAGTTTTAAAAGATCTAAAATGGAAACAAATATGGAAATAATTATAATATCATTCAATAAAAAGAAACTTAAATTTGCAAATGTGGCTTACATTATAAATTCATCAAAAGTTATCTGGGTAGAAACGTCTGGTAAGCCTTATTGTGTTATTTAAGGAAATTTTGAAAGCTTCTTTTATAAGTCTTGGACAAACAAATCCACCCATCACAAATACATATTGTAAAAATAGTTTTCTTCTTGAATTACTTTACAAAATAAGCATGTGATACAGACACCTTACGTAACTAACTGCTTGACACTGGAGAAATTACTGAGGCAATCAAGAGAATACTTCTAAGTAGTCGCTAGGGGGCAGATGTGGCACAGCGGGTTAAGTCGTCACATGGTAGTTGCTGGATAAACTTGATGCCTTTGTCACTCAGGAGAAAGACATCCACACAGAACCTATGTCAGCCAAGAATGGTTATTTTTAACGGTTAATTCCAAAGTCTCCTAACTATTAATGGTGGCCCTGGGCACAGGGTTAGCCAGGCATTTTCTACTTGATCATTCTGTATTATAGCAGATTCGGTACTTTTTGCCTGTTTACCAGTGTATGCATATACTACTTTTGTAGGCAGATAAAATAAAGGCATTTTTAAAATAAATTTTGAGTGCTTTGTCCTAAGAATAAATCAACAATGAGAAAGTACCAACATACAACTAACTGGTTTATGAGTTTGGTAACAAACAGCTAAACAAGAAGATGCACAAAGCACAATACATATATTTAATGGAATTACCTCACAGAAATGTAACACACAAGATGAGAATGAGGCAGCTCCGGAGAGAAGATTTTGTATGTATCCTCGAGGCATGTTAAATTTTTCAGACACACTCCAAACGTTGGTCTCTTTGAGCAGGGTATAAAGAACAAAAGACAAATACAGTCGGTTGACAATGTTCTTGTCCACCTTCTGGAAAGACAAATTTGTTTACATGTTGAATCTATTAAAAATGCATGTCATATTCAAACTGGACCAAAGGTAAGGTAAAGAAACTTCTGTTACAGGAAAGCAAGGATAGGATGACTCCATAGAAGCAAAACTAATGTCTAACACATGTATTTTAGATGAATTCAAAGTGAGTATCATTTTCCAATTATAAAAAAGAAAAAGAAAAAGACATGTAGAGGCAGCTGTTTGGCCTAGCAGTAAGATGCCCACATCCTGCACCTCAGTGCCTGATTCCCAGTTCCAACTCCTGATTTCAGCTACTTGCTAATGTGGACCCTCTGGGAGGCAGCAGAGATAGCTCAACCACCCAAGAGGGAGATTCTGACTGAGTTCTTGGCTCAGAGCTTTGGCCCAGCCCAGCCTGGGCTGTTGCAGGCATTTGGGGAGTGAACCGGTGGGTGAGAGCACTCTCTGAGTATCTCTGTTAAGAAAGAAAAGAACAGTAAAGGAAGGAAGGAAGAACACTTTTTTCCCAATTTAATTTTCTTCTACAGGGGCTGCAGTGGGTTGAAAGGTGCCCCCCCCCCCCCCCAAAAAAAAAAGATGTTTTCAAGTCCTGGTCCCAGGTACCTGTCACTGTGACCTTATTTGGGAACAGGATCTTTAGACATGTAACTAGTTGAGAATCTCTAAGTGAAATCATTCTGGATTTACAGCAGGCCCTAAATTCAATGACTGGTGTTTGTGTAAGAAGAGGTAAGGACGCAGAGAGGAAGGCGACGTGAGGAGGAAGGCAGGGACTGGAGGGATGCATGTACAAGCTGAGGGAGGTGAAGGACTGCTGGCCAGCACCAGGGGCTAGAGGAGCACCGGGCGTTTCCTTCTTCAGAGCCTCTCTCTCTCTCTTTTTTTTTTTTTTTTAAATATTTATTTATTTATTTGAAAGATAAGAGTTACAGAGAGGCAGAGGCAGAGACAGGTCGGTCTTCCTTCTTTTTGGTTCAATCCCCAGATGGCTGCAACGGCAGGAGCTAGACCAATCTGAAGTGAGGAGCCAGGAGCTTCTTCTGGGTTTCCCATGTGGGTGCAGGGGCCCAAGCACTTGGGCCATCTTCTACTGCTTTCCCAGGCCACAGCAGAGAGCGGGAACGGAAGTGGAGCAGCCAGGACTCAAACTAGCACCCATATGGGATGCCAATACTGCAGGCGGCAGTTTAACCTGCTACACCCCAGTGCCAGCCCCCAAGAGCCTCTTGAAGGATCAAGGTAGCTGCTATCTTGATTTCAGACTTCTTTTTCTTTTTTTTATAGAAAGCTTTTATTTAATAAATATAAATTTCATAAGTACAACTTTTAGATTATAGCAGTTTCCCCCCCATACCCATCCTCCCACCCACAAACCATCCCACTTCCTACTCCCTCTCCCAACCCATTCTTCATTAAGATTCATTTTTAATTATCTTTATATACAGAAGATCAAATCTATACTAAGTAAAGATTTCAACAGTTTGCAAAAGACACACAAAGTATAAAGTATTGTTTGAAGACTAGTTTTACTGTTAATTCTCATAGTATACACATTAAGGACAGAGGTGCTACATGGGGAGCAAGTGCACAGTGACTGCCATTGTTGATTTAACAATTGACACTCTTATTTACGACTTCAGTAATCACCCAAGGCTCTTGTCATGAGCTGCCAAGGCTATGGAAGCCTCTTGAGTTCACAAACTCCGACCTTATTTAGACAAGGCCATTATCAAAGCAGAAGTTCTCTCCTCCCTTCAGAGAAAGGTACCTCTTTCTTTGATGGTCCCTTCTCTCCACCGGGATCTCACAGAGATCTTTCATTTAGGTCATTTTTTGCCACAGTGTCTTTGCTTTCTATGCCTGAGACTCTCATGGGCTCTTCAGCCAGATCTGAGTGCCTTAAGGGCTGATTCTGAGGCCAGAGTGCTGTTTAGGGCATTTGCCATTCTATGAGTCTGCTGTGTGGCCTGCTTCCCATGCTGGATTTTTCTCTCCTTTTTAATTCTATCAATTGTTATTAGCAGACACTGGTCTTATTTATGTGATCCCTTTGACACTTAATCCTATCTTTATGATCAGTTATGAACTTAAACTGATGACTTTAACTAGTAAGATGGCATGGGTACCTGCCAACTTAATGGGATTTGGAGTCCCATGGCAAGTTTTTGGCTTTACCCTTAGGGTTAAGTCTGAGGGAGCGTGAAAATGTACTATTCTCATAAGATATTTCATATGTATGTTATTTGGTGAACAGTTCCAAATTAATATGATTTGGTTTCATTTTACAATTATTATTTTTTTTTTTAACTGCAGAACAACAGAGAGAGAAACAGACTGACAGAGGAGATCTTACATCTGCTGGTTCACTCCTCAAATGAACACAATGGCATAGGTTGGGCCAGGCTGAGACCAGAAGCCTGGGACTCCATCTAGGATTCTCACATGGTGACAGGGGCCCAATATGACCTGCTGTATTCCCAGGTAAATGAGCAGGGAGCTGGTTCAGAAACAGAGCAGCCAGGACTTGAACTGGCACTCCAATATAGAATGCCAGCATTGCAAGTGGTAGCTTAATCCACTGTGCCACAACATCAGCCCCTCATTTACATTTTAGAGTTTGATATAAAAGATTTGTTTTTTTTTTTTTTAAACCTTTTTTTTTTTTTTTTTTGACAGGCAGAGTGGACAGTGAGAGAGAGAGACAGAGAGAAAGGTCTTCCTTTGCTGTTGGTTCACCCTCCAATGGCCGCCGCGGCCGGCACGCTGCGGCCGGCGCACCGCGCTGATCCGATGGCAGGAGCCAGGAGCCAGGTGCTTTTCCTGGTCTCCCATGGGGTGCAGGGCCCAAGCACCTGGGCCATCCTCCACTGCACTCCCTGGCCACAGCAGAGGGCTGGCCTGGAAGAGGGGCAACCGGGACAGAATCCGGCGCCCAGACCGGGACTAGAACCCGGTGTGCAGGCGCCGCTAGGCGGAGGATTAGCCTAGTGAGCCGCGGCGACGGCCCAAGATTTGTTTTAAAATATATTTTTATTCAAAATTTTGAAAACCTAAGTGACACAGCCATTTTTAAAGTAAAAGATAATATCTAAAAAGTGTAGTAATGTGAATGCTTAGGTACTATATATTTTTAGTTTTATGATATAGCAATGCATAGGTCAGCTTCACCCTTCAATTCAAATGCAAGAAAATGTCATCTTCCAGTTCTCAAAATGAAATCAGTATTGCCTGTATATTGTAAATTTAAAAGAAATAGTAGCCAAGATAATTATTTTCAATGAGTACTGGATTGTCAAGGAAAATTAAAAATGACAAAAGTTATATAATAAAAGGGAAAATTAACTTGGAGAATCTGAAGGTTTCGTTACCAAAGAATTGTTTCCACTTCTTTCTTTCTTTTTTTTTTTTTTTTTTTTTTTTTTGACAGGCAGAGTGGACAGTGAGAGAGAGAGACAGAGAGAAAGGTCTTCCTTTGCCGTTGGTTCACCCTCCAATGGCCGCCGCGGCCAGCACGCTGTGGCCGGCGCACCGCGCTGATCCAATGGCAGGAGCCAGGTGCTTCTCCTGGTCTCCCATGGGGTGCAGGGCCCAAGGCCTTGGGCCATCTTCCACTGCACTCCCTGGCCACAGCAGAGAGCTGGCCTGGAAGAGGGGCAACCGGGACAGAATCCGGCACCCCGACTGGGACTAGAACCTGGTGTGCCGGCGCCGCAGGCGGAGGATTAGCCTAGTGAGCCGCGGCGCCGGCCTCCACTTCTTTCAAAGTTAGTGCACTCAATAGACATTTGCTTCATGCCCACTGAGTGAATGTTGAAACACCAACATAAGCTATCACCCAAAAGAATATTAGTTTACCCACTTCTACCTTCTGAAATGCTTTATATATGGTAAGTACTAGACTGGAAGATCTCTGAAGACAACAAACAACCACCAAAAGATACCCAACAACAAAAAATCAGACACTTCTGTTGCTTTGAAGTATTTTAAATTAAAAAATAAAAATTATATTAATTTAAAGAAAAATATGTGGAAATGAGATGAAATCAATAAAGGAAATCATATAATGGTACTAAGTTTGTTGAATGAACTTAGTTCATTATTTAGGAATAAAAATGTTACAATACCTTTCTGATGGCTTGACCTGATGCCTTCTTCCCAATAAAGCTTTCAGAGACTCCAAGACGAGAAGCTACGCTTTGTTCTGCGGGACTGAGTTGGCTAAACTACATAGTAAATACATGGAAAAATCAAATTGTAACTTTTAAAAATCTGTTCTTCAAAGAAATCTAGTATGATATCACCTTGTTATAATTGAGAGGGACATGAAAATGACATAAATGTGTTTGCAATACTGCAAGTTTTGAAAAGGTATTATTACAATATAATTTTTTTTTGACAGGCAGAGTTAGACAGTGAGAGAGAGAGACAGAGAGAAAGGTCTTCCTTCCATTGGTTCACCACCCCCCCCCAAATGGCTGCTATGGCCGGCATGCTGTGGCCGACCCACCGCGCTGATCCAAAGCCAGCAGCCAGGTGCTACCTCCTGGTCTCCCATGCAGGTGCAGGGCCCAAGCACTTGGGCCATCCTCCACTGCCTTCCCAGGCCACAGCAGAGAGCTGGACTGGAAGGAGAGCAACCGGGACAGAATCCGGTGCCCCAACCGGGACTAATTACTTAGAGATGGTCACTATGTGATTATGTTTAATACTGGAGGTGGCTGGGGGAAGGAAAAGTAGAAAAAACTTTGAAACTAGCCACATTATCAACTATTACTTAAGAACTTATTATAATGACTTCATTGCAGGACGTCAATTTCCTGTGATTAATGCTATATGCTGGGGTGAGTGTTTAGGTGAGTGCTTAAGATACCTATGTCTCATGTCAGAGTGCCTGGGACTGAGTCCAAGCTCTGGGTCCGGGTCCAACTTACTGCTTATGCAGACCCCGGGATGCAGTGATGATGGCTCATGTCATTGAGTTCCTGCCATCCACATAGGAGACTTGGATTATGTTCCTAGGTCCTGGCATTGGTCTGGCCCAGCCCTGGCTATTGTGGACATTTAGGGAGTAAACCCATGGATGGGAGCACTCTCTGTATCTCTCTATCCTATCTTCTTTTTTCTGTCTCTATCTCTTTGCCTCTCAAATTTTTTAAAGCTGTATACTATTTCTGCTTAATATATGTTCACACAGCTAGCCTGTTCACAGTACAATCATAATAGTCTGACATCTACCACGGGGTTTTGCAACACGTAGGGCCAGTTCCAACATGCTGCTGGTGATAAAATCAATATTCATTTGTAGGTATTAACATCATTGGGCTTGGCATATCATCATAGTTGGCTCTGATAGAGCTCTCATATAATTAAACTCTCAATCATTAGCAATGACTTTCACTTTTTCCTAAACACTGTACGCATTACAAAACACAGTGGTCACCAAATCATAACAGCAACCGTGTTTGGGAGAATGGGACTACAGGATCTTTTTCTTTTTTCCACCTTTATTTTTGTGATAATGAATATGCTTATATTTAACAGAGAAGTGATATTTAAACAAACCCAAAATACTGTTGCCAATGATTGGATAAAGAAAATGGGATACATACATACACACACACACACACACATACGTGCGCATGCACAGGAAAACTACTCAGCCATAAAAAAGGATGAAATCCTGTCTTTCGCAACAAAATGGATGCAACTGGTGATTATTATGCTTAGTGAAATAAGCCAATCTAAAAAAGAGAAATGTGTTTTTTCTGATTTGTGGTAGTTAATATATACAGTTAAAAAAAAGTAAGGTATTTGAGTGAAATTGACATCTTGAGATTGAATTATTGTTTATAGCCTTTGTTTATGCTCCTGAGGAAAAGTGGTCTTTCTACTTTCTACCTATTCAATTTTTTATTTAGTAGAGGATTAAGCTTATGATTATCAAGTAACTTGCAAGTATGCTATTCCAAAAATTTAGAAAAATAAAAAAGGAAGGAAGAGGGAGGGTGGGAGGGAAGGAGGGAGGAGGGTGGGAAGTATCATTATGTTCTTAAAACTATATATATGAAATACATGAAATTTGTAATCTTTATATAAATAAATATATTTCTTTAAAAAACACTAAAAGACAAATGTCTGATTTCAAAAAAATTTCAACACAGAAAAAAGTGAATAATCATTTCACAAAAATCATACCATCACTAATAAACTAAGTAGCCTCAATCGAGAAGTCTGTTCTCACCTGCCTGAAGTATACCATCCAGTCTGGGTCACACTGGGGAACCAGGTCATAGGGAGTTGTTAGGTAGATGAGATGGAGAAAGCTTTCCAGCACAAGGCCTTCAAGACCTTTCTTCAAGTCTCTGTAGAGAATGTCACAATAAGCTAAATCTATAGTTCCTAAAAGAAAGACACAAAGATATCATCCATCATCATCTAATTACTAGAGGAGGAAAGAGATTATTTTAAGTAAAGTCTCATTTAGAAGTTACCCAAGGGGCTGGTGTTGTGGCACAGAGAGTTAAGCCACAGTCCAATATGTAGTATCCTATATGAGCACCAGTTCAAGTCCCAGCTGCTGCACTTCTGATCCAGCTCCCTGCTAACGGCCTGGGAAAGCAGTAGAAGATGGCCCAAGTCCCTAGGGCCCTGCCATCCATGTGGAAGATCTGGATGATGTTCCTGGCACCTGGCGTTGGCCTGGCCCAGACCTGGCTGTTGAATTCATACCAGGAGTAAACCAGTATATGGAAGATCTCTCTTTCTGTTTGTCTCTCTCTCACTGTAATTCTGCCTCTCAAATAAAAAAATAAAGAAATCTTCTAAAAATAAAGATTATGCTGGTGTTGTGGTACAGTGGGTAAACCGCTGCTTGTGACAACAGCATCCCACACAGACACTTGTTCGTGTCCTGGCTGCTCCACTTCCAGTCCAGTTCCCTCTAGTGAGAAAACCTGCAGAAAATATCTCAAGTGTTTGAAACCTTGCCTCCCACATGGGAGACTCAGATGAAACTCCTGGATCCTGGCTTCAGCCTGGCTAAACCTTTGCTCTTGCAGTCACCTGGAGTGTGAAACAATGGATGGAAGATCTCTGTCTCTCCCTCTCTCTTGGTAATATTGACTTTCAAATAAGTAAATATTTAAAAATAAAATAAAGAAGTTATCCAAATGCAGCAAGAAGTTTTCAAAATCTTCTATTATGCAATCTCCTATATAACTAGGAGACTATTCTGCTGTTATGAGGGCACTTTTCCATGAAAAAATTGGAATTGAAAGATAAATTTGGTGTAATTTCTTGAACTCCATCTATAGTTTTCCCAACAATACACATTTCCACAAACTATTTGCAAACCCCTTATATGCATCAGTATTTAATGAGGATTCACCTTCTGATCTAACTATGCTTTGGAAGCTAACCCAGAGAAACATTTCTATATGTATCTAAAAATATACAAATAGAGATGTTCATATAGCCTTGTTTATAATAGAAAAATCAGAAACAATGCAAATGGCCATCAATAGGGTAATTGTTAAATACATTATATTACATCCCTACCATTGGGGAGAAAAGATTTTCATGATATTTTATAAATGAGAAAAACAAGTTGCAAAAACTATTGATACCATGGTCTCCTTAAAAAATAAACTATGTGCATATGTAACAACACACACACATAAACACACATTCATATGCATAAAGATATTTGGAAGGATATATATATAAAAATTATATATTATACAAATTATATATATATACACACACACATATATAAATTGTTAACCTTGGTAGCCCCTAAGAGGATGGAAATGGAACAAGAGTATGTGACTTCCCTTAACATGGTCCTGAGTTCTTAGGATTTTTTTAGCAACAGATGTGTATGTTTTTTATTGAGTAATGAAAATGTAACTGTCTGAGATATTATACTAAGCAAAAAGCTAACCTCCACAAATGACAGGAATGACTATTTTAAAAAACACCCTGTGTCTATGCATGTATTATGCATTGAAGTGAAACGCACAGAAAAGGTCTGAAAAGACAGACATCCAATTGCTATTCTTGGTGTAACTTCAGTATCTGTGTGGCTGCTGGGGAAGAGGCATGTAAACAAGGGATGGACATAGTTTTCTCTGTTTACTTACGCAATATTATAATTATTTATAATACAGAACACTTTTCAAGGTTTCAAAGTTGAAGTGCTTTATCAGTTTGTAAGATTAAAGTTATTGATTTGAAACTACAAATCTAATTTAAAGAAAGTGAATAATTTAACTTCTACTATTTCTAATGCATTTCCTCAGCTTAATAATGAGATTTAGGTAAACACTCCCCCTCTTTTTTTTTTTTGTAAGGATTTTATTTATTTGTTTGAGAAGTAGAGCTACAGACATTGCAAGGGAGAGACAGAGAGAAAGGTCTTCCATCTATTGGTTCACTCACCACATGGCCACCACAGCAGGAGCAGGGCCGATCCAAAGGCAGGAGCTTCTTCTGGGTCTCCTACATGGTCGCAGGGGCCCAAGCACTTGGGCCATCTCCTGCTGCTTTCCCAGGCCACAGCAGAGAGCTGGATCAGAAGAAGAGCAGCTGGGACTAGCACTGGCATCCATATGGGATGCCGGCACTGCAAGCAGAGCACTAACCTAATACACCACAGCGCCAGCCCCTAAACTCACCCTTAAAAGAAGCTCGTCCCAGTTTCGTAATGTGAAAATCACATCGGCACTCTTCTTCAGAGTTATTAACAGTGTCTTTCTGTAGGAGTCCTTTCTCTGTCAGGTGTCTCAGTGACTCGACAGTTACTTCCCAGAGACTCTTTTCTTTCAATAAAATCTTTTGCTGAACACCAAAAAATGTACCATTCATAAAGTGATGAATGTCACCAAGATTTGTTGCAATCTGAAACAGTTAAGGAACTATTGGAGCACTTTCCTTAATTCAAGGCATCACTCTGCGCATTAATCAAGATGACTCATCTCCAGAAGTTATTTAAACAAGAAATTAGTGTAAAATCTAGATGGTTGTATACCTATATCAAGAGAATTCTATAGTAGCATTTTTAAAATTAAGAAAAGAAAAACCAATTTAAGGGAGGAGACAGTTGCCATATTCATGCTTTTCATGGGAACATGTACATACTTTTCAATCAAAAACCTCTGAGTTTTAAAATAATTTTTTTCTTTTTTTTTGACAGGCAGAGTTAGACAGTGGGAGACAGAGACAGAGAGAAAGGTCTTCCTTCCGTTGGTTCACCCCGCAAATGGCTGCTACGGCTGGCATGCTGTGGCCAGCACGCTGCACCGATCCAAAGCCAGGTGCCAGGCACTTCCTCCTGGTCTCCCATGCGGGTGCAGGGCCCAAGTACCTGGGCCATCTTCCACTGCCTTCCGGGCCACAGCAGAGAGCTGGACTGGAAGAGGAACAACTGGGACAGAATCTGGCGCCCCAACCAGGACTAGAACCCGGGGTGCCAGTGCCACAGGCGGAGGATTAGCCAAGTGAGCCGCGGTGCCAGCCTTTAAAATAATTTTTCACACTATCTCCAGAGCTGTGCTCTGTTCATTGCTCAACCAGTTTTCATGAATTTCCAGGAATCCTCTCTTTACCCCTTTCTACTCACTTGTGAAGGCATCTTTTTAGCTCCAAATATTACAATGAAAATAAAAAAAGAACATGGAAAACACAACTGAAAGACTCCACTCAAACAGGATCAGGCAATATTTTGCTTGAAATGTCATATAAAAATGAATAGCCATTTTCTATCTCTTTGTCTCTTTTTTTTTCCTTCTCCTTTTCCTGTTCTTTCACTGCCTTGTCTCTGCTCCCCTCCCTCCATTCATTATTTACAACTGACAGTGGCAATCATACGTAGCACTCTCCATCTTGTGTTCAGATGTACAATTGATTCTGAATTATAAAATCTTTTATTAGCCAACTGCAATGAAATCATGCTATACTAAAACAGTCAATCAATAAATATATTTCTGTCATAATTCTAATGATGTTTCAATAGAAAGTATTTATTTCATATTAAGCCAGTATAAGGGCTAACAAAAAATATTTAGAGGTATAGATATTTGCAATTGCTTCTCCCTTTCAATAAAAATGATTCTCAATACAGCTATCAATTAAGCTAAACTATGTACTTTAAGCTATCCAAGTACTCATTTCAGCAGGTTATTAATGTACTCAGTTTCTATATTTTTCCTACCTGATTATAGTAGGGGCCCGATTTGGGGGAGAGGGCTTTATTGATCTCTCTACCTAACCATCATGTTTACTTCTGTATCTTCCTCATTGAAAGACTTCTGACACAGTCATTTAAATCCACCAGGCCAGCCTGTCTCTGGCCTCAGCAGCTTCTCAAAGTGGAGTTCTCCACTGATGTCTCAAACTGCAAGTGCATCCCAAGCCCAACTTCAAGTCACTTCCACTAATTCAAGTATTTGCTCAGTGCTAACCACATGCCAAGCACTGCAGAAGGGCACTGGATTCAGAGATCAATGAAAGCACAAATGGACCTCTGCTTCACAGGGCTTACATTCCAGGAAAGGAACATTAGCCATTAGTAACATATCAACAACAATCACTGATTGGCACTGCAAAGGGCAGGGAATGTGGTTCTACATAGCACCTAACAATAGGATGGACTCAGAGGCATAGGGGAAGCTTCCATGAGGAAGCAAATGGTTAAACTAAAATCCGAAGGTTTAATAAGGGTTAGCTAGACCAAGAGTGTGCTGAGAGTGAAGCTGGAGAGGAAAGATGGGGATGTTCCAGGCTTAAGGAGCACTGGGATATGGTGTCTGAGAAGTGAAAACAGTGTGGAGTGAGAGTGTAAGAGGCTGGAGAAGGAGATAGCTGGATAAGAGGCATAGGCCTCCCCTCCCACAGCTAGCATGAGAAGGAATTTGGGCTTAATCCTAGGAGCAATGGGAAACCACTGACAAAGTTTAAGTAGAAGAGAATAATGTAGCCAGAGTCACATTTGAGAACATCATTTTTTGTGAAAGAATTATTCCCAGGGCATGTTGGTAGGCAGGGCAAAGTGGCTGCAGAGACCATTAGGAGATTATGATCAAGTTCCAAGCAGGCCACACAACCCACTTCTCTTTCCCTCCACTCTTCATCTGTAAAATAGGAATTACATTCCTTAATTCAAATGGGTACAAGGACAGATGAAAAACATGCGGAACATGGATTGTGAAAAAAGAAACAATAATTGGAGGTTCCCTGGATTGTCTGGCCCAACAACTGTCACATTCTCTTATTAATTCCAAAGTTTCCTTTCCTTCTGTCAAAGTGTGGATCCAGTGCTTCCAGGGAAGTTCACCTCTGCCCTCCTGCCCCTCACAGTGCCCAAGTCATGGATCTTGCCTTCTTCCCTCTCACCTGTGTCCACCTGGCTGTGCCTACTCATAAGACTCGACATCTGCTCCCATCCAAGGGTTGGAATAACTCTGGCTATTGATCCTGTCTAGAATGTCGGCCTCCTTCCACAACTCTAGTGCTGTTATGAACCCCACCCCACAATGCAGGAGGAGCCTGGTGGCCTGACTTCCTCAGGACTGGAACCGGCAGCTTGAGTTCTGTCCCCTCTGGGCAGGCTTGGATGACAACTCCCTTCCTGTTCATCTCAACTGACTGCTGCCTGGACTTCTTGCTGCTGTGGAGCAGCAGGTTAATGCCGTGGCCTGAAGCCCGGCATCCCATATGGGCGCTAGTTTGAGACCTGGCTGCTCCACTTCCAATCCAGCTTTCTGTTATGGCCTGGGAAAGCAGTAGAAGATGGCCCAAGTCCTGCACCCACGTGGGAGACCTGGAAGACGCTCCTGGCTCCTGGCTTCGGATCAGCACAGCTCCAGCCATTGTGGCCAATTGAGGAGTGAACCATTGGATGGAAGACCTCTCTCTCTGTCTCTGCCTCTTCTCTCTGTGTGTAACTCTTTCAAATAAATAAATAAAATCTTTAAAATAAAAAACAGAATTTGAATAAAACCATGCAGTTGAAACTGTTCTCCATGGCCAGACTGATAAAATCCTGCTTTTGTGGCCAAACTAGTTTCCCCTGTCTGCCAATTAACTCTGAGTGCTCTGGTCTCAAGTGAAGTCCCACTTCCTTCCTAATTCCATTGCCTTTCTGCTGGGTTCCTAACTTATGACATGTATATTGTTAGATAAAAGTATTATGAATATATTCCCCCATCTGTGGATGGCTTTTTCTTTTTTTTTTTTTTAAAGATTTATTTATTTGAGAGACAAAGTTACAGACAGTGAGAGGAAGAGACAGAGAGAAAGATTTTGCTTCCGTTGGTTCACTCTCCAAATGGCTGCAACGGCAGGAGCCGATCCGAAGCCAGGAGCCAGGAGCTTCTTCCTGGTCTCCCATGCGGGTGCAGGGGCCCAAGGATTTGGGCCATCTTCCACTGCCCTCCCGGGCCACAGCAGAGAGCTGCATTGGAGGAGGAGCAGCCGGGACTAGAACTGGCGCCCATATGGGATGCCGAGGCCACAGGCGGTGGATTAACCTACTGCGCCATGGCGCTGGCCCAAAGGAGGCTTTTTTAAAAGATCTATTTATTTACTGATTTATTTAAAATGCATAATGAGAGGGGAGAGAGGGAGGGGAGGGGGAGAGAGAAGGGGGGGGAGAGAGAAAGAAATGGAGAGAGAAAAAGAGGGACAGGAGAGGGAGGAGAGGAGAGGTTTTCATCTGCTGATTTACTTCCAAAATGGCCAGGACTGGGCCAGGTTGAAGCCAAGAGCCAAGAACTCCAATTGGGTCTCCCACATGGGTGGCAGGGGCCCAGGTACTTGAGCCATCATCTGATGCCTTCTTAGGCACATTAGCAGGAAGCGGGATCAGAAGCTGAACAGCTGAGACTAGAAGCAGTGCTCTGATATGGGATGCTGGCATTGCAAGTAGTACCTTAACTCACAATAACACAATGCCAACCTTTAAAGAGAAGTTTTAATTTTAATGAAGTCTATCTGATTTTTCCTTCATGGTTTAGGTTTTTAGTTTTCCTACTGAAAAAATTTTTGCCTAACCAAAAGTGAAAAAGAATTTCTCCTGGGGCAGGAATTTGGTGTAGCAGTTAATATGATGCTTTGGATGTGCAGATTCTTAGCCAGAGAGCTTGGGTTTGACTCTAGCTCCACTTCACATTTCAGCTTCCTTTTTTTTTTTTTAATTTTT